CCCCGCTATGCAGGACTGTCATAATTTTGAAAGACTTGTTTTCAATCTTCTGTCATATAATTAGACTTTGAAGGCTGGTACTTCCTGCTGAAACTGAAGATGCTTTGGCTTTGAAAAATAGAATTCTTAAGAGAAGAAAAGCTCCCTCCGCACACATTCTGTAATGTTCTCCCTGAAATACGTACTATTTTTTAAAACTCTGATGATCTTTGGCTACAGCAAGTTTCATTCCTCTCACAGCTCAGTCATATTCACCACTGTAGATGCAGCACCAGTGTATTCACCCAGGGAAAACAGAATCCAGTTTATGTATGAAAACATGTATTTCTTCTCCATTTGCCAGGTCAGACTCATTTAATTACAAACAGTAATTTAGAAGTGTTGTCCTTTGAGTTCTGCATAACTTGGTTTTAGCAGAGTCGGATGCCATTCTAGCCTTAATTTGTGCATCACAATTAAGCTGATGTAATACATATAAAACTAAACAAAACAAAATTATTTGTTCAAATTACTTTAATTACATATATTGAACTTCCCAATTAAAGAACTGACTTCTCAACATTTAAGCAGTCCTTATTTGCAAGAGCAGAACTATCCTCTTGTATGTCAATTACTGCCTAAGTAGAAATCCTGCTACTGAAGATTGCTGGCACAGAAACAGAAGGATCTCTGCCAAACTCAGCAGGTAGCAGCCAGTGCTCCAGATCCTGTCCAGCAGCAAGCAGTGGATCCTGCGCTGAAGGCTGCAATTAATATTCACGGAAAAATGTGACAGCTCACCTGAGCAGAAAAGTTCATAAATACCCTTATTCAGGCACCCTTACTTATTGCTTTTTCCCACCAGGCTTCTCAGGCACTGCTCCCTAACACCATCTTCCCTTGCTGAAGTCAGAGGTAAATCACCCATCCATTTCAACTGGGGCAAGACAGGGCTCGCAGGGCTCACACCAGGCAGCGTGATGCACCTTTTGCTCTTAATATGTTCTGTGGATCAGACCAAACTGGTGGATCTGTGTCGTTTTTAAGTGCACTGCATATTAAAGAACCGTAATTCTTCATCTGAAGCCTGAACAACTTGTTGCTTTATGATACTTTGAGTTAAACTCCTCATACAGCACTGCAAGAAAATAGGAGAGTTGTGTTGGCAGAGAAAGCAGCAGAGCACTGGGGCTTCTTAGACCTTCGCAACAAGAAAATCTGGTAGAGGGACACCAGTAATTGCCAGAACACACCCCCCCCTCCTCATCCCTTGCAATCCTGACCTGTCTGTGCCACACACACCTGTGTGTCCCCCAGCCATCCCTCAGCTATAAGACCTGCCCTCTCCCTTTGAGCCACAAATTCAAACCTGCCCCATTGCCTCCTGACAGATCCATGACCCTCCAGGTGCCCAGAGATGCCCCACAGCTCATGGACAGCCACCAGCATTGCCCCCCCATCCCTTTTACATACCCTTCACCACTACCCGCTTCGCCCCACCTTGGCATAGCAGAAGGAGATAAGCAGCAGCGGGAGCAGATATCCAAAGACGAATGTGCAAACCACGTAGACCTTCTTGTGGCGTGGGTTGGGCCAGTGCTCCCAGCAAAAGGTCAAGTTGCTGGCCTCACGGTGGTGGAAGAGGCGCTGGTGGTGAGCCACAGGTGAGGCCATGGCGAAGGAGAGAGCCCAGATGAGCCCCACACCCAGCAGTGCGTTGCGGGAAACACGCAAGGCCGAGGAGCGTCGGGAGTGCACAATGGCCACGTAGCGGTCCACGGACATGGCCGAGAGCGTGAAGATGCTCACCAGCATGGAGACGGTGAAGAAGTAGTGGATGAACTTGCAGATGAAGGCACCCAGCACCCAGGTGGGGAGCACGTAGACTGTGGACTGGAAGGGGATGCAGAAGAGCAGGTAGGCCAGGTCAGCGATGCTCAGGTTGAGGATGAAGATGTTGGTGGTGCTGCGGCGCTTGCCTGGCTTGCTCCTGGCCAGCACCGTGATCACCAGCGAGTTGCCCAGCACCCCCAGGGTGAAGATCAAGCCGAAGACGATCAAGGTGATGAAGTTCTCGATGCCGATGCCGAAGAGGGGCTTCCCCTCTGCCTCCGGCAGCCCAGAGAGGTTAAACTCCGCGCTGGGCGGCTCTACGTCAGCCCGGGACCGGTTGAGGGGCGCCGCCGCGGGCTCCCCAACCTCCATCCTCCCCGTGGAGCGCCGGCCAAAGTTTCCGCGGGCGGAAAG